ATGTCCTTATGTGACACTCAACAAGCATACCCGGTGTTGTGGGTGCTCATCGCTGCAGATCTGGACGCCTGGGTGCCAGGGTGGAGCAGGAGCGAGCGCGGCGGGTGCAGGTCAGAGGTTGCCAAGACGGAGGCGCAGGGCATAGGGTGGTAGGCACAGACGGCGGCTCCATCGTCACGGGCAGCTTGGAGGAGGGTCGAGGCGCGTCCCGCAGCGGCGGGCCTTGGGGCCCCGCCTGGACGATCGGCGGCATGCCTGAGGCCGCGCCTTGGAGGGCCGGTGGCCGGCGGCCAGCCTAGGCCAGCGCACGGGAGGGGCCGCAGCCGCTCGTGAGCTGGGGGCGGCGGACGGCATCGAACCTGCGGGCGGCAGCCGGACTGCGCGAGGAAGGGAAGCGAGAGAGAGACTGGGTGCCGGTATTCGAGACCGAATTCATTTAGGCTGCGTTTGGATACAGTCGTTGAGGCTCTGGAATTGGCATTGAATCGGATAGCACAAAATGTTTCAGATTGGATGTCTTAGGTATTAAAATTAGAAATTATCTTTAATGACAAGAGGTATTGGCTACAACTGCAACCAGTCACCCTAATACAAAGTATGCACCCTCCGTAAGTGGGCGGAATTGGAGATGAGCGTATCCGTGACCGAGGTCGAGCGAGCGGTCACGAAGGTGGGCTCCTTCATGGCCGGCGGGGTCGAGCTCCCCCATGGCCGGGCCGGGGCTGAGCTCCTCCGTGGTCGAGCTCCTCCCCAACCAGTGTGAGCAGTCATGGAGGTGGGCTCCATGGCCGGTGGGGTTGAGCTCCCCCATGGCTGGCAGGGTCGAGCTCCCCCATGGCCGGACCGAGGCCGAGCTCCTCCATGGCCGAGATCCTCCCCATCCGATGCGAGCTCCCCTTCTTCTTCCCCATGGCCGGCGGCGCACCTCCCCTTCTTCTTCCCCGTGGCCGGCGACGCACCTCCCCTTCTTTTTCCCCATGGCGGCGTGCACCTCCCCTTCTTCCCGTGGCTCCGACACACCTCCCTTCTTCTTCCCCATGTGACTCTGTTTGTTCCCCATGGTGGTGCCCACGCGCCCGGGCGTGGCACACCACCACACCCGCCGGGCCCAAGCCTAGGGCCCCACGCCCAGCAGCGTGGCACACCACCACACCCGCCGGGGCAGCCTGAGGCCATGGCCACCTCCGCCTCCGCTCACGCCGAGCCTCGTCATGGCCGAGGTCGGGCCATGTCAGCGCCTTGGGAAGCCTCGTCAGCGGGGCGGGCAGCCTGCCTCCGCCTCCCCCTGGGCTCAAGCCGAGGTGGGGCCGAGGCCACCACCGCCTCCACTGCAGCGTGCCCATGGCTGGGGCCAAGGCGCCTTCACCTCTCAGGCTCGAGGCCGTCGTGCAGTGAGTGGGGGATTGGGGAAGAAGGCGGTGAATTCATGGAGGTGTACATCCAAACATGAAATGGTATTTGATGTGTCACTCGATTCCAGCTAGCAAATTCATCTACATCCAAACAACAGATTTGGTATTTAGTCCATTTCCAATACTAGCCTGATTTGGTAATGGTATCAATTCAATTCCAGAGTCTCCAATATCTACATCCAAACGGACCCTTAGAGAAGTTCAGATCTGTCCGTATCTGACTCCGGATATTTAAAATCTGATACCGTATCCGTATCCAAATACTCAAATCGTATATTTATGATTCAGATATCCAATCATACTCTATCCGTCATGGTTGACACTATCCGTATTCGGATTCGAATCCGTACAGAAATATAAAAACAAATATAATATCATTGATATCCATCCGTATCTAATCCATTTTCATCCCTAGCCGGCGGTGGGAACGAGAGAGATTGGGAAATTTTGTAAGGGCAAGGCGGGTTAGGGTTCAACTGCATTTCGTTTTCACCATCGAATTTTCATCAAGCGGCTAAGATCGCGGCGCCCTTCTGTTCGGGCTGAGTGGTTGTGGGTTGAATACGTGGAATGGGATAAATTTAAAGTTTTTTTTCATTTTCTTTTTCCTTTTTTATATAAAATTTAAATTTCAAATTTGAGAAATTCAAACATAGTTTTTCTTGATAAAATGATTTCAAATAAAAAAGTTGTCAACTATAAAGTTCTATGACTTTTCGAGATCAACTTTCATTTTGGTTGTTTCTCCGTCGGAGTTCGTTTGAAAAATTCAAAATTCAAATTTAAGAAATTCAAACGTAGTTTTACTTGACAAAATGATCTCAAATAAAAAATTTGTCAACTACAAACTTCTATAACTTTTTCAGATCTACAACTTTTATTTTGATCATCTTTTCATGTGACTTTGTTTGAACAATTCAAAATTTGAATTTTAAAAAATAACTACTTCAAATAATATTTTGAAAGAGTAAATGATTTCAGCTAAAAAAGTCATCAACAACAAAGTTGTAGAAGTCATCAAGATCTACAATTTTTATTTTGGTCATTTGTTCATCCGATAAAGTTATAGTAATATTGTTCATAAATTTTATATCTCTCTCTAGATATAAAAAATTTGTGAACAATGTTACTATCACTTTATCGGATATAGAAATGACCAAAATAAAAGTTGTAGATCATGATCAGTTCTACAACTTTTATATTTATAATCTTTTAGCTAAAATCATTTACTGCTTCAAAATATTATTTAAATTTGCCATTTTTTGAAATTCAATTTTTCAATTGATAAAACAGTGACATGAAAAGATGACCAAAATAATAGCGATAAGAACACAGTTAACTGATAGAGCATGGAATTTAGAAAATTTTAGGAAAAATATCATCAAATATGAAGTTTGTTTGAGGGAGAAAGACTAGTTACAAGTTTTTGTCAAAGATTAAAAAGAGAAATATGAATTCTTCGATAATTTAAAAATTGAATTTTCAACAGCATTTTGAAATAGGAAATGATTTCAAATGAAAAAGTTATAAACAACAAAGTTCTATAACTTTTCGAGATCTACAACTTTTATTTTGGTCATTTCTCCATCCAAGCCCTGTTTAAAAAATTCAAATTTTAATGCTTAATTTTTACTATTTCATAGCGGCGCAAGTTGACTTTCATGAAAAAACTATTACAACTACACAAATCTTTTCTGAGGCGGGCAAAAACGATTTTCCGAGGCGGGCATCCCAACCGCCTCGAACCAAAGGTCACGGTGAATCAAACTTTACCGAGGCGGTTGAAATGCCCGCCTTGGTTAATCAAATAAAAAACAAAAAAAGGGAAAATCCCGCAGCCTAAACCAGGTCTAGGCCAGGATCCGGGCTGCGCGCCGCCGCCGCCGAGGTTCCTCGATCTGCCACCGGGGGAGCTCAATCCGGCCACCACAGGCACAGATCCGGCCACCACGGTCACGGATCTGGCCACCAGTGGCGGATCCGACCACCACGGTAGCCGGAGGAGATGGGGGAGGAGGTCGCGCCGCCGCCGGTGGAGGAGCTCGAGGGAGGAGCGTGTCGACGCCAGGGAAGGAGCCAGCGCCACCGGTGGAGGAGCTCGGGGGAGGAGGGCGTCGCTGGTGGAGGAGCTTTGGGAGGAGCGCTCCACCACCAGATTCGGTGCCGCCGCCGCCGCTCCCGCTGCCTAGAGGGTGGTAGAGGGCGCCGCTGCCGCCCAAGAGGAGAGGGAGAGGCGCCGCCATCGCCGGGAAGCCGCCCGCACTATGAGGGAGGGAGAGGGGAGGGCGAGTGAGGGAGAGAGAGGTGGGCGAGTGAGAGAGGTGTCGAGTGGGGGGCGACGGGCGAGTGCGAGAGGCGTCGAGTGGGGGTGATGGGAGAGGCGCGGCGTTGGGCTGAGGGTCGGGGCGGTGGAGGAGTGAGTGAAACCCTAACCTCCCCCAGTATATATATTTAGGGTGTGTATCGGGCTGGTTTGGGCTTTTCTCATTGCTAGTGGGCTTGGGCACAATTAAAAAGGTCCGCCTCCGAAAATTGGGGTATTTTTCGGTTAATAGATTTTAGGACGTCTCCGTAAATCGATTTTGCGAGGCGGTTGATTGTGACCGCCTCGGTTAATAAAATTGCCCACCTCGGTTAATCCTAGGTATTAACCGAGGCAGTTGAAATTCCCGCCCGCCTCGAGGCTATTTTGGAAACGTTGCGCAAAAGATTTTATGTAGTAGTGTATCACTCTCATAAAAATAGATAATTTCATGGCGGGCTAGTCATTTTCATGAGGGGGTACTAAATACTCTCACGAAAATAGTTGATTTCATGACGGTGTGTGGAGCACTCTCATGAAAATAAGTTTTTGTTGTGGGATTTACATCACCCTCATGAAAACGATGATGAGTGCGTTTTCCACTCTCTCGAAAAACTGTCCCCTTTCTTCTTCCTAAATAGCATGCATGGAAGGGGATATAAGACTAAGATGCGGGGAAAATCTTCTCTCCAGTACACCTCAATTTTAGTCACTATCAACTTATGCTGAATTTACACTCGACTTGTACTAAGTTTCGGTGACTATTTTGATGTAATTTCTAAATAGAAATGGTGTAACTAAAATTCGGGTGGGAAGGAAATATGTCACCTGATTCCTACAACACCTTTATCTAAATATAGAACTCCTCTAAAACATCCTAATCTTTTCTCTTTCTTATAATAATAACATGCTCATAACATTCAGCTGAGAAACCTTTTCGACTGAACCGAAAAACATAGTCCAAAATGCACAAAAGTAGCCAAGCATTCACAAGACAAACACCACAACAGCAGAGACATCTATCTTTGAAGATCTTCCATCAGCACGCGGCTGTTATGTCAATATATAAATGCCATATATTTTTCTTATAAGGGTTAGTAAAAAAATTCACCAACCCAACCCACTAGCCAGTTGCTAGAGCACAAACTAGTGAAAAAGTAAGTCTACATATGCATATATATGGCTGGGCACTACAACAATGTAAAGCACAGCATATTCCATATGCCGATGCCTCTTGGATGAGAAATTGAGAATTGCTGTCTGCGTTCCATTCCATCATCAGCTCGTCAGACGACTTCAATGCTCTGATCATCACTCTCGCCATCCATGACCACGGCGGCATTAGCTCCACCGCTGCTGCTCCGGCCGTCGTCGACCACGTCCATGTTATAAAGTAAAGGGATCATGGCCAAGGAGCAGATGCAGGGGAACACGGGCCCAGAGATCCAGAGCAGGAGGGGCGCCCCGGCGAAGAAGAGCCGGTTGCCGGTGAGGTTGAGGAGGAAGCCCCTCTCCATGACGTCGGCGACGTAGTCCCGCGTGACGCCGGGGAGGTGGAGGTGCGGCGACGGCGAGAGCGCGTTGACGAGGAAGGAGGCCTGGTTGAGCGTGCAGATGGCGAGGCTGTGGCAGAGGAAGGCGAGGAGGAAGACGGACAGGATGAGCAGGTACTTGAGCGCCATCATGTACTCGCCGTGCGCGCCGAAGACGGCGTCGCTGAGCGGCTTCTTCACGACGTAGGTGCTGCTCAGCACGGCCGCCACGCCCGTGCAGAAGAGGATCGACGTCGTGCCCACCAGCGTGGAGCCCATCAGCACGTTCCGAATCGACTGCACCACGGTCACCGCCAGCTTCTCGTTGTTCTGTGAATCAATAATGACCATGAGCGTGTGCGCCATGGACGGCGGCCATGGACGAGAAGAAGGGAGGAAAGAAAGTGCGACGACGTACGTACCTTCATCATGGAGAAGACCCAGATGCGGCGCGCGGCGGCGCTGATGCCGACGGTGGAGCTGAGCGGGCTGCGGCGGACGGCGCGGTAGAGCCAGAGGTGGTACACGGCGGGGAAGAGGATGGCGAGCGGGATGAGCACCATGTCCAAGTAGCCGTCCCTCCACGCCATGGCCGACGACGACGACGACCTGATGGACCGCCACACACAAACCTCTCTCTAATATAGGCTCGCTCGGCTCCACGCGATCCCTCTCTCTCTCGCTTAGACGATGATGGTGTGTCAGGTGTCGTCGTCGCACCGTCAAGGATGGAGAATATATAGGCAGCTCGCCAGGCTGGCGGGGAGGCGCCGGCCGGTAGAGATGACGACGACCACCACTCGATAGCTCTGGGTAGCGCGAAGAGACGACGACCGCACGCACAGGCGGCGGCACACACACCTACGACAGCGAGTGTGAGTGTGAAGCACATGCACGTACGCTACCTTTCGCTCAGCTCCCATGGTGATGGTGGAAACTTACTCGAAGGCCACGACGCTTAGAAAAAACCCAGCGACCTAAAAGTGGTAGAGCTAAAGGGGGCAGTGGTCGTGACCAAACCTCACACACTGTCTCGATCGCCCGAAATGACTAAGCGTGCTGGATCTCCCTCTCCTGACATTTTTCACTGCCGGAAACAGAAGGTAAGCTGAGTGCAATATTGTTTAGCGAGTGCAATCCATAGGGCACTTGGCAAACAAGCTCTTTATCGAGTGCTGCAAAAAAAAAACACTCGGCAAAATAATTGCACTCGGCAAACGAGGCAAAAAAACATTCGGCAAAGTTTGACACTTGGCAAACTAGAAAAAAAACACTCGGTAAAACTAGACACTCGGCAAAGAAATATGTTTGCCGAGTGTAATTTCTGCCACTCGGCAAAGAAATATGTTTGCCGAGTATAATTATTTGACACTTGGCAAATCATTTCAATTTTTTCTCAAATGGCCTTGAAACTTTTTCTACTCTCCACATACAACATGTGGTATTCCATGTTAAAATTTGGTATATTTTGTGGATTTATATGCTATATTTAATTAATTTATTGCATTTCAAAGAATTTTTTGGTATATGTCAAATTTGAACGGCAAGTGATTCAAATAATAGAATAAAATGAGTAAAAAATGATATTCATGTTATTGAGTCCGGTGTGAGGCCTTACCCGGGAAATAAAAAGAAATTTCGAACATCTTGCACAATGAAAAGAAAAAATAACTAATATATTTGCCGAGTGTCCAAAACCCTAGACACTCGGCATGCCGTGATCTGACACTCGACAAAAATAACTAATATATCCGTCACCGCCTCCTCCCCTCCTTTTCTCTCTCTCTCCTTATCTCTTCCTGAGAACACGCACACAGGGAAAGGAGAGGAGGTGTCGGCCTCCTGGGTTGGCTCAGGCGGGCCCGCACTCGTGCCCCAGTGCTCGCGTGGCGGCGGTGGTGGCCGGCCAGCGGCGGTCTTGTGGCCGGGGGCCGGTAGAAGCGGCGGTGGGGCCAGGGGCGCCCGTACGCGCGTGTCCTGCCGCGGCGGCGGGTGTCCGCCCGCGCGTGTGCCTGGGCGAGGCTGCTGTGGCCAGCCCGGTCGCGCCCGCGGCCTGCAGGGCCAGAGCGGCGGTGGCGGCCGGTCGGCTGGGACCCAGAACTACCGGATCTAGCCTTGCGTGCCCGTTAGCGGCCACGGTGGGTGCTTCGTGCGCGGCGGCTCACGGAGCAGGACGGGGCGCTGGCGTTGTCGAAGCGTCCAGCGCGTCGTACGACGTGACGAGCTTCCACAAGCTGAGCTGCGCCCACCGAGCAGAAAGCAGGTGGACTGGGCGGCGGCTGCGGCGGTGACCAACACCACCACCGCCAACAGCAGAGACAGCGGCAACAGCGACGGCAGCGGGTGGCTCGGCGATCGCGAGCTCCGCACGGAGGTGGAGTCGCTGGCCAGCATCCGGCACAAGAACATCGTGAAGCTTTACTGCTGCTACTCCGGCGCCGACTGCAACCTGCTGGTGTACGAGTACATGCCCAACGGCAACCTGTGGGAGGCGCTGCGGCTGCTACCTGCTGCTGGACAATGGTGGCAGCGGGCGGCCTGTCCGTGGACGATGGTGGTAGCGGGAGGCGTGGTGGCGGCGGCGACGGGGCGAGCCGCGGGCGGGTGGCGGTGCGGACGAGGCGCGTGCGGGGTGGTTTTTTTTATATTTTTGAATTTTTTTTTGCTGAGTTTCGGTTTTAGTACTCGGCAACGTCTTTGCTGAGTGTTCAACAAAAAAACACTCGGCAAAGACAGCTTTGCCGAGTGTTTTTTTTGCCTTTGCCGTATGCCGTGGGCACACAGTAAACCTGGGCATTCCGGTAGTGTTTGTTCGCTTTTCGTGGACATTTTTTAGAAGGTAGTAATATATATAAGAAAGTATACTGGCCAGGTTGCATTCCATGGTGCATGCATAGATTGTTGTTGGTAGGTATCTTTTGACAAGGTGCCAGTGGCCTTCTCTTTAGTCTAACTCTAATCGCACTAATGGTATATGCTACTTATTAATTCCACAAAAAAAAAAAGAATATGCTACTTAAAGCTAGAGAGCTACGTACTCCACTCCGTTTGTTTGGTTTGAAAGATTTTTTTTTTACATTTAATTTCCGGCTGCTGCATGAAAATGCTATGAGATAAACATTTGCCAATTATTAGTTGGGTGTGGGTTATTCATTAGGATTCTCAATCTATATAAGCAGCGCTCTAAGATAGACAGTACTACTTTGCTCATCTGTCATCCTTGGTTTATGCAGAAACCTGCCTATTCATTCATGGGAGATTTTTTAGTGTCCTTCTGTCTCAAAAGATTCTAAATTAATCTCTGATAAGTTTGAAGAGATCGAGTATAATACTCACAATTAAACAAGGGAACATGCATGCCTTAATCGATCTGAACACGCTTCGAATCGATCAAACTAAATTAATGGAAACACGAGGTAGTGAAAAGTGCGCGGACCAACACGATTCGAGAGTGCATGCATGTCCTGAAAAAGTGGAAAGTGCGCGGACCTATTGACCGAGCTCGGCGCCGCGTGCTGATTTTGATTAATTTAAATTTAATTTAGTTTAATTTGGGCGAGGGCCTGAGGCGTGTGTTACTTATCACCAATGCAATGCATGCACATCATATCATATATATCTACTCGGAGTGCATTCATTCTATCACACGACGCGTTGATGGATGCGAACTGAGCTAGAGGGTTCATCTCAGATCTTGTTTGGCTCTATATCCTCTCTTCCACTGGTTGGAAGGATCGACGGTGATAGAAACAACATAATGTGGCCGTGGTTGTGATGCTTGCACGACAGAAGAAAACTTTGTCAATTTAATCATAAATTTCTTTTTTTATTAAGGTCTTTTTCTTGTCTTCTGTAAAATGGAAAACAAGCTAGCAACAAAGTGCAAGCTGTGACTCTTGTGTAACCAATGTTTCTTTTTTTATTTAACTTGTTGATGTTATTTATTCGTTATATAGACCAACTTGTAAACTACTCCATCCATCATGAAAAGAATACAATTCTAGCATAGTATCAAGTTATGCCATTTTGAATTTGACCAAATTTATAAAAAAAATAACAATATTTGCAAATAAGTGTCATCAAATTCCTTATGAAGCATGCTTGTGTTATAAATATTAGCACCGTTTTCCATAAGCTCGAACAAACTCTAGACCGCCGATTGGGAGCCCAGATCGGTATTATACTGTATGGAGAGAAATGTACGGCACACCGAGGACGGGAGCTTTAGCTCCTCAAATCAACCCATGAGCGAACTCATCCAGAGGATCTCCCAGGTAAATAAGTGTCATCAAATTCCTTATGAAGCATGCTTGTGTTATAAATATTAGCCGTTCTCAAAGCTCAACAAATGATTGGGAGCCCAGATCGGTATTATACTGTATGGAGAGAAATGTACGGCACACCGAGGAGGACGGAGCTTTAGCTCCTCAAATCAACCCATGAGCGAACTCATCCAGAGGATCTCCCAGGTAACTGAGGAGGTGAGGCAATGGACTCGCACTTCTAATAGGGAGAAAGACGTGCTCACCTAAGCACTCGGAACCAAGGAGCACCCTGATCACACTAGAGGAACCGGTGTTGTTCCTTGAAACTAGCATTCCCCCAAGAATCTAACACTTACCGGAGCCACTCGAGGGGTAGAGCGGAACATGAGGCAGAGTATTTGAGGAGACTAAAAGAGATGGAAGACAGAATGGAAGCACGGATTGAGGCAACCGTTGAAGCATGAGTCGAGCAAATTTTGCTATCCAATGGGTCAGTAGTACCACAAAACCCTACTCCTAGTGCCTTTAGCCCACAGTTTAGGGGTCGCAGCAGCTGCGGATCGACCCCGCTCGACGAAGAAGAGGCGAATGTGCCTCATTCGGTGGACGACATCACTGAACCCGTCAATGTCAGGTTGTACATCCATCAGGAATGAACAAAGGACAAGGTGGCGCTCGGTCAGGCCTGGCCTACGGGAGACGAGACAATTAATGGCCACCCAATTCCACTAGGGTACGCTCGCATCACCATTGACAGAATACTTGATAAGAAGTATAACAAGATACCCATTGAGTACCCCGTAGCCGAAGACAGGCCAAAACTTGGTCAAAACAAGGGCTCTCAAGTCGCCTGGCGCAAGCGCTTCATTAAGCTTGACCATCAATTGTCCTCTGATGATGAGGACGACTGCAAGTCTTTGTCCACCTGCGATGATCACTCACCATCTCGCAACAGAGATCACTCCTCTCCTCATCCAGAGCCATCACCCCCGAGAAGACAGAGGTCTCCTTCTATTCCTCCTCGTCCGACTCCATCTTCATCAGCCCCGAGAAAAGAGACTCCTCCTCCTCCTCCTCCTCCATCTCTATCAGCGCCGGGAAAACAGAATTCTCGTTGTCATCCTCCTCCTCCACCTCAGCCCAAAACAAGATCAAGGACATCCTCGCAGTCGCAGAAAATGTCCTTGGATTCGGTCGCTAATGCTCCCAGAGTGGACCAACATAAAAGAAAAAGGCCATTCAATGGCAGCGTTACCACCTTGATGAAAGACAAATTTATAGCACACATCTCGAAGAAAGATTGTGTTAGTTTCTTCAATCTATGTGCCTCACTGCCTCCGTTTTTGTTGAAGTCCGAATTCGAAAGGTAAACACAGAATAAATACGCTACAACAAGAGACGAAGAAATACACAATAAAGATTTAAGGAACATTATGAAGTTAGTCGAAGACAACCCTGATTTAACCATGGAAGAGGCCGTGAACATCTATTATGATGTACAAGGGACGAAAACACCAGCAATGAAATATGAAAGGGGCAATCTTTTGGTTCCCGATCATGAGTATAAAAATCTGACAATATATATGCGCCAGTTACATGAATATTACCTGGCTCAAGCAACAGAGACGGACGACTTTGGTTTTGAGATTATTATCCGTTCGCCACATGTTTTTCAATATCTTGAAGAAGAGAAGTTCGATGTCGAGTGAGAGTGCTTGTTCCAGCTATACTAGAAACGCTCTCTCAATGTTCAAATGTTGACGTTGTGGACTATGTAAGTACCCTACACGTACGATATTACAATTAACTACTCTCTCGAGACACAAATTGTTAACTTTTGAGCACTTCCCATGATTTTATGTAGATGTATAGCAAAATTTTGCATTCTAAAAAGCAAATGGGATTACATAGGCTTCTTGGACCCCATGCGAGTCAATGAGAGGACATGTCTAGGCCTCTATGGATGTGGGGGCCTCTATGGATGTGACGTGGAAGACCTAAAACAGAGATTGATTGCTGTTTTCGACGAATTCACGATGAAGAAGAAAACCCACATACTTCTAGCCTACAACTGTGAGTATGTGTTCTCGGCTTTTAATTTTATGCTTCTTTTTTTAAGATTATTCGATAATTAGGATTTTGTGATTGCAGCAACCATTTCGTCTTCATTTGTGTTAATCTTGCCAAAAATCTGCTCGAGGTGTGGGACTCGAAGAAAAAACCATTTCATCATCTGGATGCACCGGTGGCAGTGCTGATTTAGTAAGCGATCCTAATAACTATTATTTTCTAATCACACATACCGCTTTCTAATGTTTATCCTTTTAATGTTGCTCAGTGTCCGAAGAAGACATATCGATGGAACGCTGGTCCCATTCAAGGTTGTCGAAATGGAGGGGAAGTACCTATCACAATCGGCGGGAAACAATGAATGCGAGTTTTATGTAATGTGGGCAATGATTCGCTACATCGGTGGGAAATCGGAAGAAGCCGATAAGTTGTTGTGTATAATCTCCATTTCATTTATGTCTGTTAATAATTCAACAAAATGATTTACTGTTCCTCTTTGGATATCATCTTTTTTGAATGACAACGCAAGAAATATAAGCACGAAAGGCTGCTAGACATGGAGATCGGTCGCACTACAATTGGAGCTGGCAAAATTCATCTTAGCCGAGGTATTGGAAAAAGATGGAGTATTTTTTATTGCACAATCCGTGAAGTACAAGGACCAGTATGACTCAAAGCGGCTCTCTAAATTATTGTAGAAAGTCCGAGAAACATGTGTGAAGTCCAAGAACATTTCTTGATATGGATAAGAACATTTGAATTGCAATCGTAACATTTGTAATGTTTAATATTGATGGACCTGTCGTCTACGTAGTGTATATAAAGCGAAACCCGATTCCACAAAAAATATAAATTAAAATAAATTATAAAATAATAAAATACGAACGGGCCATCACCGCCGGTTAGCAACAAACCGGCAGTGTTGTCGTAACCATCACTACCGGTTAGAAGGAAATCGACAGTGTTGGCTTGCTCAACACTGCCGGCTTGAACCATGAACCGCACTGATAGTTACGAGAACACTGCCGGTTTGATCCATGAACCGACACTGATATTTACTACAACACTGCCGGTTTGATCCATGAACCGATAGTGTAGGCTTGCTCAACACTGCTGGCTTGAGCCAAGAACCGACACTCTTTGAAGCAATCGTCAGTGTCGGTTGGCACTACAAACCGACAGTGTTGTTCAACTGGACACTGTCGGGTGGAGCCAGGAACCGACACTGTTTCCTGTAGATCAGTGTCGGTTTTTAAGGACCGGCAGTGATGTCAACCCACCATCACTGCCGGTATGCCACTGTCGGTTCAAAATCCGGCAGTGAAGTGGGTTTTTGAACCGACAGTGATGTCCAGATCTGGGGCAGTGAAGGACAACTATGATTGTATCCTTTTCATGACGGATCCTATACTACTGGACCAGTTTGAAAAACTGCACCTTTCTGAAGGCGGCACTAACATGGCAAAAGCAAAATAACGTAAGCACATTCTTAGTTAGCTTACTGTCATTTTCTAATTTCTGGCAAAGCAAAAATAGGTAAACCAACTCCAGTGCCCAAATTAGGGCCAGACATACAGAAAGTAATAAAAGAAGAAACAAACAAAGCATTGCATTACCATCAGCTTGCGCACTCAGTATGACGGCATGGAAGAAACTGGCCAGCTTAGAGTCTACATTCAGTAGCCATGAAAAATTCTTTATATCACCCTGTGTGTGAAAGCACTGAGCATCTGAAGAAAAGAAAAGCGAACTTTTTTTTTCCAGTGACGACGAGTCTACAGCCTGTTCGTTTGGCTGGTTCGTATCGTTGTTGGTTCGTGAAGAAGTACTGTTGGCTGGTTTATGTGAGAGAAAAATACTGTTCTGGCTGAAAATTTACGATCATTTACGACAAGCCACAGCCAAACGAACAGGCTGCTAGTAGGCAGGACACAACCATTTGGTGTTGGTGCCCTGGTCGGAAAACATGTATGGTATAGAGTTAAATCATTTTGAGCTTGACCATGTGAAAGATATCAATATTTATGATACCAAATAAGTATCATAAGATTCCTCAAGAACTACTCCCTCTGTCTCCCTAATTAATTGTCGCCGTTGGTTTCCGTGACGAAAGTTTGACTTGATTTGTAGAAAACACGTGCAACATTTATATCTCCAAATAAATTTATTAAAAAACTAGATTCAAATATCTATCTAATGATATTAATTATGTACCCTAAATATTAATATTTTTATATATATTTAGTCAAAGTTGTTTCACGGGAAGTCAAAAACGATAGATATTTAGGGATGGAGGGAGTATCTTCTTAGAGTATAGCTATTTTGTCATAAATATTGATATTTTTTATAGGGGCTCTTGCGTTTTTACCCTTGTTTTGTATTGAAATTGTGATTTTTCCATGCTTTTTTGACTTTGTGAATTTACCCCTATGATTTCAAAACGAAGCACCAGTTTACCCCTGCTCCGTCATCCACCCCGACATGAATGCCCATGCGATTTTGCCCTTGTTTATTATGCCTAATTGTGATTTTACCCTGATTTAGAATTAGACTTTTTTATTGTATGCCTAATTGCAATTATTTAAACTCAGATTTAATATTGATAAATATTCAAAATTTTGGCAGCACATTTGCTATATTTTGCTAGCATCATGACAACAATATGAAGCACATATAAAACACATAAGAAAAATCATGGAGAACCACAGCATTTCAAAGTCTGCCATACAGCATGTCAACATGTCCACAAAAGTTGTGAAAAAAACATGTCCACAAAAGCTACAGGTCTACACCATGTCACATGTCCACAAAAACAACTGCACCATGTCAACATATCTCCCACAACTAAAAAGACTAAAAGATGGACACATTTTGGTGCGACAAAAATTGGTTCGTCCGTCTGCCACCTCATGCGAACGGCACCCCCACGCGACTTCCTGCGCCGCCAGGTGGGACCGCGAAGATCCCGCGATCGATCGCCTATTAGGAAAGATTGCTGCCGCATCCTGCCTGCCTCACCCAGTAGGAAATCGCGGCATCTTTCCTACGTTGATCCCGCGATCACCATCCATGGCTGCCTCGGTTTCCTCCCTGCTCGTCGCTCCCCTTGCGATCGCGGCATTGCTCCCCTCCCCTCCGTGACTCCCCGCTTGGCCGTGCTACACGCCTTCTACCACCGTGAGGCAGCGCGGCGTCCACGGTGCTGGAGGGCTGGATCGAGGGCACCATGGTGCTGGTGAAGAAGGACGTGCTCAGCTTGGGCCACTTCCAGGCGTCGCTCCTCGACAGCATCCACCATATCCTCGGCCAGGACACCGGGCTCGCCTTCCAGCTCGTTAGTGCCACCAAAGCCGACCACCATGAGGTGGCACGGCGTCTCGGTGCTGGAGGCGGCGCACACGTCCGTGCGCGGCATCCCGGTGGCGCAGGTGGTCAACCAGGGTATGCCCACCCCTTCCTTGCTCTCCCTTCTGTGCGAAAAAGCGGACACCTAAGTGGGGAATGTAACGCGGCAACATGTTCGACAAAATGTGTCTCCATGCTAGCAAACCTTGGTGGTTGTGTCCTCGTAGATGGACCTGCATCGAGAAGGAGAAGGACCTGCGTCGAGAATTTTTAGCACATGTGATTTTTAGCAAGTAGTACCATAAAAGGTCTCCGGAGATTAATTAGTCTCATGCTGCATGTTACATATGATTGCACAATTACCCTCTAAATTTTAGCATGGAATATATACTCAAGGGGGGAATGAGGAAACTGAAAGTCGGCGTGGGATTCAAAATCAAACCTACTATGCTTTTATATAATATATCCATGCTGCTCTTTCTCTGCTATTTTTACACTGTAAAAATGCTAATCGTTTCTCCATAATATGAACTATTTTTGTACATCACTCATGGGATGCTCTTTGAGTTGTATGTAGATTGGACAGTTGCTGAAAGAGTCTGATAAATAATCTAGACATCAGAATACCATTTCATCATTGTCAAAATTTATTTCATTACTGGCTCTTTGGTTAAATCTGCTAAGGTTATCATTTATTCAAGTTGACTGTCATGAAGATATTTATAATTTCCTGACAATCAATTTTCCATGCCTAGCTACGGGTTACAAGAACTCTAAGCCTGTGGGTATGCTTTGTTGTTTTGTCAAACCAGCCTTTCTAATTATCAGTTTTGTTGAAAAATTTTTGGTCACCTAATATTAAAAAACAGAAAATATGTAAATCTGACTACTTGTGGAACGTCCTACTTGAAGTTTATTACTGTGTAAACCCACCCTCTAACCCTTCTCTATCAGAAATTTGAATGACAAAACGTGAGTTTACTCCTGCTTTTATTACTTGGTATATGCCATCATGGGTATTCATCGATTCTCCAGTTTGGTTGCTGCGATGATTCATATCAATTTTAGATAGCTGCACTGTCAGGTTTAGTGTATGCTATCATGACTATCCATGCATTCTCCAGTTTGGGTGCTGTGAAGATTCATCATATCTGCAACCAACAATTCAGTGCACTTGAGAATTCTTGTGTTTTTCTTTTTCAATTAGCCATTCACAACCAGACCTGAGATGAAAAGATAAAAAAAATAATTCAGTTATTGTTAGGCTTTTTTTGCCTCATAGTACTTGTTTGTGTTGACATGCTTAGATTAGGTTCTTATATATAAATTTTGAATGTTTAATTTCAGGAACAACTGAAGGAATGACACAAGATGCTGATGGGATTCCGGATGCAGTTCAATAAATAAAAGGAAGACCAGACGTTGTATTAATTTTAGGAACGACCTACGTCTCCGCACCGCCGGCCACCTCCCGCGCGTCCGTGCCGCCGACCACCTCTACGTGAGTCCACGTCGCTGGCCACCTTCTCTGCGAGTCCGCGACGCCGGTAGCCTGCAACATCCACTCCATTAAGCAGGGCGAAGCTGCCTCCACGACGCCGGCGCATCTTGGGTTTCATGGCCGCACGTTGTTGGAGCCCTTCCTGTGGACGCGAGGTACTGTTGCTCTCTCTCAATCTTAGATCTGGATAGTAGTGGTGGAAATTAGTAGGTGTAATGCTGGTCTCTTAGGATTTGTAGGGGCGGAAATTAGTTGGTGTAAAGCTTTTGGTTTGATTTAGTGAATAAAAATCGATCTGCAAGAACTACAGTGACAGCTTCGATTATTAGGCATTAGTGAATCCGAGGATTTTTTTAGTTTATTTAAAACGGATCTAACTATTTCCTTGCATTTCAGTCGGAACTACAGTGAGAACTTCGATTATTAGGCATTAGTGAAAACATATGACTACTGCATTTGCTACGTCGCAGGAACCAGGAAGGTAAGTTATCTCCATACACTTTTACAACCATCTACAGATCAGCCACTGTATAAGCTCCTATTTTTTCTTACTAGCTTTGCATCATCTTCAAAGAGAGTTCAATAGCTTCATGATTGTGTAAGCAGTAACTTTCAATATCATGATGCGCCTTCAGATGCAGATAGGTTTGGAGACCTATCATCATCTCAGGCAAGCCTTCACTTCTAACAACCTATGTTGCAGATGTCTATATGTTATTAGTATTGTATTATATATGTTGTCAGCAACAAGGGTGTTGTTCTCCACTAATACTTATATCAAAAGAGGTTTATCAAACAACATAAGGTTCTGTTAAAAAAACTAATGTAGCACACTTTCTTTATGATGCCTAAAATAAGATGGGCATTATGTAGATATGTGTCGATATATAAAATCGTAAGCTCTTCTGTTAGAATAAGATAATGCACTATGTATATTTTTTCTTCGTTTTCTTGATCCAACATTTGGTCAATTTAGTCAAAATAATTTTAGAGGTTAGTGTGTATATATATATATATTCAATTATATATGTAGTTGTATGGTAATTAGCGGAGTTGCAATGTAATTATCCATAAAGGAAACCATTGCAACCTAATTTAAGGGAGTACCAGTTTGTGATATCTTTTGGTGGTTCTAATTTGCACACCCGAATGTTGCCATAGTGTTAGCACGGGCACGCTACTATATAAATAAATATACATCGTATTATATGCTGGTCAAACCGATTACACATTGATTACATGTTAATCTTAATTACTGATTGATCATGTCATTCTCCTTGATTGAATATTGCCTGCCATGTGATAGAGGAATCACGGTAAAATAGGAAGTAGAAAATTATTGTGCTATCCATATACACATTGCATGTTTGCATGCACCAGCATACATGCCAACAAGCAAAAGAAAGAGAATTAACACAGAAGGAAAGAGAATTAAGACAAAAGGAACTTCTTTATATTTCTGAGAACCTTGCCAAATCTGTCTACATTTAATTACTTCCCCTCTTTGCATTTGCAAAAGGGATAGTTTTTTCCTCCTTTCATTTGGTTTCACGCTCACGTGTTCCATCGCCTCGCTTGTTGTTTCTCGCTGAAATTGCCCTTGGGTCTGTTCATTTTGAATCCTTTCCCCATATCCCCATTCCCCAATCCATGGTCCATCGCGACAGTAGACACAAGACACCATTTCTTGCGTGAACCATAGTTGATGTCATCTGTCTTCCATGGCTCAGCCTCCCAATCCCAAGAGAAGGTCCCTACCTCTCCCTGACTAGAGATCCTGCCTGCCAGAGGATCTCCTCTAGTCCATCGGGCAGCGTCTCGCATCAGGCCACGACGCAGCGTCCTTCCGATCCGCTTGCTCCCCATGGCACACCGCCGTCTCGTTTGTGACCATCGGGCCGCTCCTGCTACTCTCATTCGACCCCGACTCGGACCGCGTCGGCTTCTACTGCATCCGAAGAAGGTCTTGTCCAAGACGCTGCCCGATGTGCGCGGCAAGGTGGCGTGCGGCTCCTCGTGTGGGTGGCTGGCGCTCATGGATGAGGCGGCGTCCGTGATGCTGCTGAATCCATTCGCCGGTGCCCGTGCCCCCTGCGTTGAGCTCCCGCCAGCAGGCAAACACGTCGCGGCTATGTCCTCATTGGAACACGTGTCTAGGGTCCACGGCCGGTGGGTCCTCCATCCCACCAATGGCTACGAGGGACACGGATGCCGCAGGCAGAGCCATCAAGCTAGAAGACATGAGGGACACGTTCTTCCGTGAGATCGTGCTCTCGGTGCCACCTGACACCGCCGGCCGTGAGTGCATGGCCATGGCCATACTTGGGTGCTCCACGGAGGTCGCGTTCTATCGGGTTGGAGTCGACAGCGCATGGACGCTGCTCGACACCAAACTAGAGTTCTCCGTGGGGTCCATCGTCCACTGCCAAGATAAGTTCTTGGCAATCGACTGCACTGGAGAAATCTCCGTTTGCAGCAGCAACGCCGCCGGCGCTACTCCAACCACGACGCTGCTGCCCACATACGGGGCTCTGCCACCGCAGCTACCTAGAATCAAATGGTGAGCTGCACATTGTGGGTGCCATGGTGAGCATGTTCCATGAGACACAGAGCTTCACCTACAGTAGCACGATCTAGAAGTGCAACCTCCACGACCGTACGCCGGAGTAGTCTAGGGTGAGGGACATCGGTGATCAGACACTGTTCGTGTCTAAATATTTCAATGAAAGCTTTAGTGGAACAAGTGTATCCAAGTACAAGGAGAACAAAATCTATATGTCTAAGCCATTGTATGGGGATCCATACGACTTGGTCCATCGATTAGAGATCGTTGATATTGCTACCGGCGCATCCGAAGTGAAGCCCGTCCAGGAAAAGATGCAGGGTTCCGAGGCTCTAGGTTGGATTCGACCCAATCTCTAGAAGGATCATTACAAGACATCAATCATCTCATAGCTTCGGACAATATCACAAAGCTACTAAAAACTATAACCATGCCCTCACCTCAAACATTGTCCAGATAAATGGATTACAATGAAAGAAATGGATATCGGAGATTTCTTCCTACCAATATAAAACATTATCTTAGCCGCATCACGGAAAGGTCTATAAAGTAGAGTTTGTGGGCCTGCGACACCACGCACTCCATGACTGTGTTAAATTCATAAAGCTTTGCTTTTTGGATTAAATGTCACTTTAACATTGGTATTTAATTTTTACAGTATTGTTATCTTATCGTGCAATCCGTGTGTTTTTAGTATAAATTGTTAGTTATCCCGTAGCAACGCATGGGCACGCTACCTAGTCCACAAAAGAAACAAGTCTGCACCATGAAAACATGTGCACAAAAGCTACATCCATCTCATTCAAGGACCACCTAAAGACCTAACAAACTAGCTAGCCTTCCTCCTGTTCGCCCTCCTCTTCCCCTCCCTCTGAAAAGCATTGAACAGGTTGGTTAGTAATGATTACATCAACAAATAAGTGCATGGATCATGATAGTGTGTAATTACATTACTGTAGAGAATAGCAAACTATGATAGGTTGACAGGCAGAACTAACAATTGCAAATACCAAAAGGTCTGTGCCATTTTCATTTGAACCTAGATCCATTTATCCCATGGCCAATTTGCTATGAATGGCATAGGATGAGAACAGGACATCCGAGGAGCGAGAGAAGATGGGACAGGCATTCACAGTTCATTACTTCACTTACGAGAAAGGAATCCAGAAGTACTTAATATGGGGTCTGACTGCCCGCATCTTGATCCATGCAACTTAATCCAGTAGAGTTTATAGAATCAAAGAGGAGTCCAAATCACTTGATGTCATGTTAATTTAGATTCTTTCTACAATCTTCTACTTACACAATAGTAGCAACTGCACCATGACTTACATTGGCTCACTGCTGCCCTCTCGTGATTCTCTTCCTCTTCCCCTTCCCCTTCCCCTTCCTCTTCCTCTTCCCCTCCCTTCCCCTCCCAGTAGCACTTGCACTAAAAAGAGAGGAAACATGATTTCAATATTATCAGATTATGCCATGAGTAGAAGTGAGCACCAATAGAACCATGACTTACATTGGGTCATTGTTGTCCTCTTGTGATCCATGTTGTGAAGAATTGAGCCTTCTCTTTTGACTAGCAGTGAGACCTCCTTGGCAAGTCTTGGCTAAATGCCCTAGTTCATGGCACTCAGAACACAATCTTCTTTTCTTGCTACTGCTGACCTCATCATATGCCTTGAACCTAGACTTTTTAGGTCTCCCAGGTTTCCTTCTCAATTTAGGCTTATGGATTTTATAGCCTAAGTCAACACGTGGCCAAAGATCTTTGGATGTCATTGAAATGAAAGTACCTGCATATGCCTTTCTCAACCTTTCAATAGAGAAGTATTCATGGACAAAGTCATCCATTTGAACCTCTCTACTAAGCTTTGCAATGAAAGCTAGAGCATGGCTGCAAGGCTTTCTAGTCACTTGCCAAGCCCTACAGGTACATGTCTTTAATTCCAAGTTAACTGCATGCCTAAATCTATTGACTGTCACTTCTGCTTTTCTAGGCCCACAAATTAAGACATCATGGTCCTTAATGGCCTTCGATTTAGCATTCAGATCTTTGATGATATCTGGGATTATTTTTTCAGACATCTTTCTAGCATTCTTTGATCTCAAGACAAATTTCTCAATGATCATTTGTCTTATCTTGTCATGCATTTCCACAATTTGATGTTCCTTTGTTTTTAACACCCAACTATTGAAACTCTCAGAAAGGTTATTGTTGATGTAATCTACCTTGCAATCTTCTGAGAATTTGCTTCTACTCCATATGTATGGATGGTTCTCATCCAACCATTCAAGTGCCTTGGGATCCTTCTCTTCTATATTCCTCATAAAGAAGTTGAACT